ATATCCTTTCAACACATGGCACAGAAGCTATGGATATAAAGAACACAATGTAAGTGACAGACAAAATACTGGCCTACATCAGTTCCAGTTAACATTTGAACATAAGTCATATGTAAGGTAAATTAGGAATTTCTGAGAATGACCAATACAACACTGCAAAACATATTTCCGAAGGAGAGGTTAGAGTGAAAGAAAACCTAAGTGTATGGAATATGCCAGTCTAATGGAAATCTAGCAGCTCTGTCAGGTTTCCCCATAAATTCATCATGAAATAGGAAATCGTGAGAACTATACTTAGGATTATTTAAGAGCAAAAGCAACTCTTCAGGGGAGAGCTCCAGAAAATATTTGTAATTAAAAGGTGGTTTGGAGACTTAAACTTGATGTACTATAGCAATAGTTTAAGAAGCATCTACCTTATTAGATAAAATCATATCATGCAGGGGTAATACTTGAAGGCCAATTTTTCACTGATTTATATTGTATTATTTGATGGTAATACACATTCAGGATTCACTATTCATAAGGAAATGCAAAAGTTGTTCCTAATCAATATAATTGTGATGTATTTTACACAATCATAAATATGAATGTTAAGTGGCTGATTATTTTGTGCTAAACATCTGAGTTTGGGTGATATACTGGAAAATTAGAACCCCCAAAAGCAATACAAAATGGAAAAGAAAGTTATGACTTGCTTTTAAGCCTATTATTCTTATGCATATTTAAGATTTCATTTATTTATTTGATAGAGAGAGACACAGCAAGAGAGAGAGCACAAGCAGGGGGAGTGGGAGAAGCAGGCTTCCCACAGAGCAGGGAGCCCGATGCGGGGCTCAATCCCAGGACCCTGGGATCATGACCTGAGCCGAAGGCAGACGCCTAACGACTGAGCCACCCAGGCGCCCCTCTTGTGCATATTTAAATAGTCTGAAATTATAGTGTCTGCATTTATGAATTCCAGAAATATTAGTTATAATTATAATCAGTAGTGGCTGCCTTTTAAAAAGTGGCAGGATGTGCTGGTGGTTTGTACAATAAAAATATCGTCAATTGGTCAATTGTAGATTTAAGTAGAGAGTCTCCCCTCTCTGTGCCACTGGTTGGGACCTGTGCTGCCAGGCTTGTCTGTCTGCTGGTCCTCAGGCTATGAGCCAGGGATGGTGAAGCTGGTGCCTCCTGGCTTGGCTGGATGCCCTACTGCATGTAAGTGACAAACCAATCCAGCCATGCTTTATGACCCCAGGTGAGTTCACTGACCTTCTATAAAAATATCTCTCTTTATGAGAACAAAATGGAAGCCGTGGGATTCCAAGTAAATTATTCCTTATCCTCAGTCAGGCTAAGGTACAGTCAAAACGACTTCCAAGTACCAAATAACAAGGTAAATCTCTAGTATCCAACTAGGGATGAAAGAGAGAAATGCTACTCATATGTGCATGAACAGCTGCCCAGTGGGCTGAAGGTAAGGAACCTAATTAGGTAAAAAAGTTGTTCCAAAGAAAGAAGTCCTTATGGATCATCAAAATTAGCTTGATCCATGTTACTTCCTTTTAATTTAAAAAATGCATGTGCTGTCCACCAGGGCCAAGAATCCCTTTACTGCTTCTCTAGAGAAGAGGATGGTTCATGTACCACATTCCCAGTGTATCTACCAGTGTGCCTCTTTCTGTGAACTGTAAGGCTCCAATTAGAAAGTCAAAGAAAAAGCAGTATGTCAATACGTAACAAACTGACATCAAAATATCATACATACTCTTTGCTCGGCACTAATACTCTTGGGAATCTATCTTAGGAAATGGTTTAAAGGAAGAAAAATCTATGTATTCACATACAGAATAAACTCTAGTATTTTTTGTACATAGATACAATGATGACTCATTAATATAATTGTTTGAGAATATCAAATACTCTGAAACAACTTAAATACTCAACAACTAAAGAGAGGCATAAGTTATGATATTTCTATTTGATGTACTGATATGGCCTCTGTAATATCAAAGAGAACAAGTGTATTTGTTTGATTATGTATCTTTTTTTTTAAAGATTTTATTTATTTATTTGAGAGAGAGACACAGTGAGAGAGGGAACACAAGGAGGGGGAGTGGGAGAGGGAGAAGCAGGCTTCCCGCTGAGCAGGGAGCCCGATGCGGGGCTCGATCCCAGGACCCCGGAATCATGACCCAAGCCGAAGGCAGACACTTAACGACTGAGCCACACAGGCGCCCCTTGATTATGTATCTTAACAAAAGAACAGCATTTTTATATTTGCGAATATGGTCTTATTTAACCGAGCATAACGTTTTAGATGAGAAACATCACAGTAACAGTGAACAGAAAACATTAGCTATTGTGCTAAGCACATGATAATTTACATATGGTACTTCAAACATAAAGGCACCACCTGGATCTTCATTTTCTCGTTGAAAGAACTGAGGCTTGGAGGTTTGGAGTAACTTGCTCAAGATCACATATTTAGTTGACTGGTAGAACCAAGGGTTGGTTTTGGTCTCTGCAGAGCCCAAGGTCTTAACCACAGGACACAGCACACACATCTAGTGACAGGAGAAGAGGTGGGCATCTTTCTACATGTGAGACCAGCTGAATCAGAGGTGAGAGTCTTTAAGGTGGCATAAATCACAACTTCTCATTCATTTGTTTATCCCTTCATTCATTGAGCAAACATTTACTGTGCACCTGTTGCGCGGTACCACACACTGATGGAAGCTCATTCATTACAACAATTTTTTTTTTTAAGATTTATTTATTTATTTGAGAGAGAGAGAGAGTGTGTGCACCAGCGGAGGGAGGTGCAGAGGGAGAGAGAGAGAGAGAATCTCAAGCAGACTCCCTGGTGAGTGTGGAGCCCAATGGAGGGCTTGATCCCAGGATCCTGAGATCATGATCTGAGGCAAAATCAAGAGTCAGATGCTTAACTGACTGCGTCGCCCAGGCACCCCTCATTAAACAATGTTAAGAAAACAGAACTCTGTGGTCATGATTTGGAAGAGTATAGACTAAAATACAACCAGATGGCAGTACTGGAGGTGGTGGTGGGATTATCTGGTGCTTTAAAAAACTGTTTAAATATTTAGTTATAATGTTATTTTCCCCTTTGTATAAGGGCCCACTAAGGAGACTTTTCTGTTACAAAGAAAAATCTCATAAAGCAAGACAGCCAGTCTCTTCCTTCAGGTTTGGTGAAAGCTTTGGACCAATATCTATGTTGGGATAAATAATATCTAAATCTCCTTAGACTTATATATGTTAATAATGAGATTTCTTGAAAAGTTAGTCAAGTTTTCACTGATTTTCACATAATGATCTTGTTAACAAGTCAGAATATATTTACACAGTTACACTAAAATATTTTGAAAGATAATTATCACTAATCAATGTCCAACTTTGAGTTAGTTTTCATGTTTAATTGCAGTGAATATTCATTTCTTTAGCAGTGACTCTTCAAAATATTTTGTTTGGTAGAGTAGTTTGGTAGTAATATCGGTTTGATGTTATAAAAAAAGGAGAAATCATAGTTTAAAATATTCATTTAGAAATATGAGAGTACTACCTTCAGTATATATCATAGATATTAAATCTTTAATAAGTATCTTATTAAATAAAGCTTGTAATGAAAGTATAGTTTAATTCACTTGATCTTAAAATGTATTTACATTGTGTCAATATTATAAAAACTGTTCACATATGTTCTCTAATTTAGTTTAATTATAAAGAAAGCATATTAAAATTATTAGCTTTGATAAGTCCTTTATGTATGTGAATTAGAAGTTTCTGGGCGTGCCTGGGTGGCTCAGTCTGTTGAGTGTCTGCCTCTTGGTTTCAGTTCAGGTCCTGATCTCAGGGTCCTAAGATCGAGCCCCACATCAGGCTCCGTGCTCAGCAGGGAGTCTGTTTGAGATTCTCTCTCTCCCTCTCCCTCTGTCCCTCCCTCCACTTGCACTCTCTCTCTCTCTCTCTCTAAAATAAATAAATCTTTAAACAAACAAACAAACCGAAAAAGAAACTTCTGGGATGCTTTTCCAGCAATAAAATGAGTTTCAGTGAAGAAGCTCTCAGAGTTTGTTTTCTTCAATGCTAGGTCAATGTGTTTGTCAAGTCTTACACAATTTACTGCTCTTTCTTTATAATCAGAAAAGGCAGTTCCTATTATTTGTGGATAAAACAAGAAGAATTTATTTAGGTGCAAGTGAAATATCTGTGCCTGAATCTGATCTTACTAGGACATCTTGCCCATAAGAAAACTTCTCCATAAGAGCTGATAATACACAGATCCCACAGAACCCAGGAAAAAGTACAATGCATACTCGGGTATTGTGATCAAAGACAGTGCTGATACAGAAATATTTCCAAGCTTGCTCTAAGGAATATTCAGAATGGTGCAGTGGACAGAAGTAGCTTCTAGACTCTTCTTCCCTTCAACACTGTAGTCTCCCCTAATCCTGCAGATTCAGTTACTCACAATCACCTGCAGTCTGGAAGCAGATCCTCCTGACATACCATCAGAGGGTCAGTAAGTGGCCAAACGCCAAGTCCCAATGCCCACATCATTCGCCTCACTTCAGCATGTGGGCATTTTATCAAATCTCACAGCAGCACAAGAAGAAAGGTGAGTACAGTACAATAACAGAGTTTGATAGACTGTATTCACATAACTTTTCTTGGGATACACTGTTATAAATAATTTATAATTTATGAATTCAACTTCTTCATCAGTATATATGTACAGGAAAAAACACAGTCTAAATAGGGTTTGGGACTATCTGAGGTTTTAGGCATCCACTGGGGGTCTTGGAATGTATCCTCTGCAGATAAGGTTGGGGGGGAGGGACTATGTATTTCTTGCTCTCTTTTCCCCACAGAAAACACACATACCCACCATAGCTCCTATCTACCAGGCAAGCCCTCGAGATTTATGTTCCATCAAGGAGACGGCTGGTCCAGGGTTAGGGGTTCCTAATGAAGGTCCAAAAATGATGTCATGCTTTTAGAATGGGAGATGTTGGCTGACCCATCTGCTTGAATATTCCTGAGGATGGTTTCCTGCAATCAATTAGAGTTGGGACCTTGCTTATTGGTGCCAAAACTTATACCCAAACAATCAGTATATGTAAAGAATCTGGGTCCGAAGATGATAGAGTCAACCAACCAACCAAACAAAAATCCACTTTTAAGAAGACATTTACAGCCAGCTGTTATGTATGACATTTCACGAGTTTTCAAGACATGAAAGAAGTCCATCAGTAATGATAAGAGTAAATTTTTTAGCTATGTCTTCAAAGAAACAAAAAGAATAATGTATTGGTCGCATCCTGTGTTCTCCTGAGCCAAATGCTTATCACCTTGATGGCACGTCTATCAATACAGGATCTGCAGACCAGATTTCTAAAGTTCCTTATAACTTTAAGATTCTAAAACGCTAGAAAGGTGGTTCTCAAAGCACAGAACAAGGACCAGCGCATTAGCATCACTTAAGAACCGGCAGAAATGCAAATTCTTGCCCCTTCCACCTCCTCAGAAACTCTAGGATGGGCCCAGGTGTCTGTGTGTTAGAAAGGTGTGGGAGCCAGGCTTCAGCAGGGCCCCCAGGATCCCTACCTGGTGTTCCCATCTTTGGGTAGTTCCATCCCACAACAATGGGACTGACTGATGTAACAAACAGAATGTAGCCACGGGGATAATGTACGACACCATAAAAAGTACCGTGGCCTCCTCTTTGCTCTCTCAGATGGCTTGCTGTAGGGAAGCTGGCTGCCATGTTGTGAGGACTTCCAAGTACACCTAGAGAGGTCCCTGTGGTGAGGATTTGAGGCCTTTGGCCAACAGCCATCTTGTGAGTGAGCCACTTAGAAAACAGAGCAGCCAACCTATGTCCAGACAGCTGGAATGCGACCTCATGAAAGAGCATGCTGAGCCATCCAGCCAATCTGCTCCCACATACTGACTACAGAAATTGTACAAAATAATAAATGCTGATTCCTTCCAGGAGGTGAGTCTTGGGGTACTTTACTTCATGGCCTTAGCTAACTAATACACAAACCCTCCAGGTGATTCTGACATATGCTGAACTTGAGAACCACTGAGCTAAAACATTCATTCATTCTCCAAATAATTATTTCTTGTACTTCCTATGTGCTAGGCTATGAGCATGAACACGATGGGCAAAATAGACACTTCCCAGCCCTCAGAGGCAGCCTGTTCTTTTCCTTCATTGCACAGTTTGTGATTTTATTTTATTTAGGGAACACACACTTATGTAACGTGGGTCACCCACTGCACCGTGAGTTCGTGGTGAGCAGGACCTTTGCCTGGTTTCCTTCCCACTACCCCTGGGCCTCGCCCTGTGCCTGCTACATAGGAGGTGCTTAATTAATATCCACCTAGTGGCTTTTCCCTTCCATCTTCCCCACCTTCCTCCAATATGATGAACTGAGGCCCCAGGAATAGGCCTCTGAATAGCAACCAATCACAATACATTTAAGGGGTTCTAGGTGTGTTCCCCTGGGAATCTAACGGCCATTGGCTATAAATTTCCATAGAAAGAAATGTCTTGTGTGTTCAAAACGGTCAACTTTTAGAGTCCTTCTATTTTACACATGCAGATTCATAAACACATACAAGGAAAATATATGCAGTGGGTTTAGTAATAGAAGTAATTAAATGTGAGACTATTTTCCTGTACAGATGCGCACATCAATAAAGCACAGGAACTCATCTTGCTTTACCTCCGGGTGGAGCCCTGTGCTGATGAGGAAAGCAGAATATCAGGAAATTACTCTTCCCTGATAGAGGATGTCCTGCTGACCCCCATACTTGCGCAGAACCCTCTGCTGTGCACCCAGAAACATCCTGATCTCACTGACCAGCTCTATGATGGGTTCTTCTGTTCAGTAAGGGACAGGAGAGGTTAGTGTTGGAAATGATAAGGTGGTGAGATAAGAAGTCAATAGTTTTTTTTTCAACATGACCTTAGAACACGAAGGAGTATTTAGAGAACACTTTTTTTTTTTTTTTTTAAATGTAGGCTCCACACCTTGCATGGAGAGCCCAACGCAGTGTTTGAATTCATGACCCTGAGATTGAGACCTGAGCTGAGATCAAGAATCAAATGCTTAACCGACTGAGCCACCCGGGCCCCCCTGGAGAACACTTTTTGATAAGAGAAAATAACTCACTGATTTTTAAAAATTCTTATGGCAGAAAGTTTGAGATGTGAGTGACATCATTTTACCAACACTTAGGAACATCAGAGAGGTTATAAAACAGACTCTGGCTCTCAGCATATTTCTGAGCAAGATTCAAGAGGAGGCAGGCCAATTACAACGTCCGCGGGGTCTTCAGAGGGCGAATGGTGCTCTGCTGAGCACAGCTCACACAAGCTGCCTCTCCTGCCCATCCTTCGTGAGGGCTAACGCTGAAATCTGGCCGGGGACAAGAGCAGCAAACAAAGGTGATGATGGCGGGCTGTGGCTTCTGCAATATCGGTGTCTCCAGTCGCAGAGCAGAGCCCACCCAGTGGGAACTGAGACTTCCATAATTACCCGCTTGCTCTTTCTCATTCTTCTGTGACTAGCAGAACTTCACAGTGCCATCCTATACAACTGCGTGTGATGATGGAGATGGTCTCCCTCTGCACTGCCAGAGCACGTGGCTACTAAGAGCTAGAAAGGAAGCCAGTGCTTCCTGGAGCTTCCCTCTTATTTAATCCTAATTAATTTAAATGTAAATAGCCCCCCGTGGCTTGCAGCTGCCACTCTGGGCAGGAAAGTGGTAGAAAACAGTAATCATGGCAAATGGGTGCACCAACTCATCTTGAAGAAGATTTTATCATTCTCATCTCTTCTAAGAGCACAGGGAGGCCCAGAGGAGTGATTGACTTGCCCACGATCAAAAAGGTGGTAAATGGCAGAGAACAAGTCATGCTTCACCTGTCCGCCCCAGTCAGCACTCCTGCAACGCCATCAGACTGCATTTCCCCTTCTTCACGTAAAAGATGCCTCAAAGGCAAGCGTCAGTCTCTGAAAACTCCAAATTCTCAGTAAATAGGTATGAAAGGAAGCTAGCCATACGCGGCAGGATTCCGTCCAACAAAAACACATGGGAAAATGTTTCTCTCCAGCTATGAGGATCCAACTTGAATCTTTCAAACTATACTTTGTGGTAAGTATATCTGACAGCCTCCACTGTGCTCGAAAACTTTTGCTCCAAGCAAGTGGTAGCCCCATGAATTCGTGAGAAGGCAATAATACGAAAAAGATTTTATTAAACTTCTGCCACATCCTATTATGCTGTCTAAGCGTGATTTTATCCCACTTAACCTTTGCTGACAAACTAGATTATACTTTCTTTCCTAAATCAACAGGGTCCCATGAAATTGCACAAAAGATAAAGTACCTAGCATTTCAGGACTGATTTGGAAATAGAGTGTCAAAGGCATGACTTTAAAAGGGTGGTTAGCTATGCCTGAGGAAAATAATCTGCAGTCATATTGTAAATTCTGTCTTGAATTCTATGTAAAATATTTCACATTATTGTAATACCAGAAACTCACTCCAAAATCCATAAGCCTCAGTTCAGATACTTGAAGGTCCTGTATCCATAACCAAACCACTACTATCTCCATAAATCTCTCCTTTATTCACAGAGACCCACAGCGCAGCCCAAATTAAGATGCAGTGTTGTAAATTCATTGAAATTAGGGTGGAGAACATCACAGTTTTTTGTGGACAAAACTAATATCCTTTGGTTCTATTACAGCTTTCATATTGCCAAGGGGATCGAAGCTATTCCTTAATATTACCCTACTTGGGTAAAATCAAAGAGATAATGGGATGATTAGCTGAGGCATAGGTAAGGAAATGGGGTAAGGCCACAAATTTTGAGGATCAAAGTCTGGTTGCAAAAAATATATATAATAAGCCAAGTGTGATGATCCTGTTAGATAAAACAATCCATTTTTTAGATTAGAGCTAGTGCACTCTGGTAGCAAGAGCTGTAGAAGGTTCTAGAATTATTCTCATCAAAGCCTGCACCTCTTCTCTTGCAGCACATGACACTATCGTACGGTCACAAATTCACCTCCTCAATCTGGCATCATGTGAACAATGTGAATGGGTAAGTGGATGGTGGCTCATAGATGACCCAGGTGGGGCCTATGTGTCCTCCCCTTGAATCCCATGGGTCCTTAACTATTCTGACCCACAGAATACAGTGCAAGTGGCACTGTGCAGGTCTCTAGGCCTCAGCCATAAGAAACTTGCCGGGATCCCCGAGTGTCCATTTAAGAGGCCCAATTACCCTGAGACCACCACATAAGAGACCACGTGCAGGCACAGAGTCAACATTCCCGGCTGAGCCCACCCTCCCAGCCATCTGCACCAAGGGGGCCAACCATGGGAGGGAAGCCATCCCAGGAAGCAGATGAGTACCACCAAGTGACTCTCATCGATGCCCATGGAACAGAAGAATCACCCAGCCAAGCCCACCAAAATCAAGACCCACAAAATCATGACAGAAAATAAAATACTTCTTGCTTTACACCCTGAAATTTGGGGGGTACTTTGTTATGCACCAATAGATAATCAGAACAGAGTATTTCTACTATCTTCAGCTAATCTATGCTTCCTCTAAAACCACCTTCTAATTGTTCCGATTAAATAACGTAACTGTACATTTACTAAATACGAAGCCTAATCCTGCCGGCCTGATCATCCGTTCTTATATACACCTACCAATGAAGCCGGAAGATGGTGGGTTGGGCTGAATCTTCTCCTTGGTGTTCTCCTGGATAATGTCCCAAAGCTGCCATATAAATTTTGGATGAAGAATGTAAAATGGCTGATTTGGGTTTCTCTGACGGTGCTGAACATATGGAGTGAACAGGTTGTAATCTGGCTTCTTGTACCACTAAGAAAAAAAAAAATCAACACAATCAAGTACAGAGCACCACAGTGCGAAAAGGAAACAGGGCAGCACCCAGGTGGGGGCAGAAGCTCCTTCCAGGCTGAGAGAACAGGAGGGGAGTGAGGTGGTGACTGTCACGTCTTCAGGCACTGCCTCACTGGAAGAGGGAACCAGAACAAAGAAAGATAGGGTTCCAGCCCTGGAGGATGGATACTTTGTTCTTTAGTGAAATATGGGAGATGAGGTAGGGCAGGGGTGCCGGACTCTTCTGTAAAGGCCCAGACAGTAAGCACTTGAGGCTTTGTGAGCCACACGGTCTTCTTCAACTAGTCAATTCTTCCGTTGTACTGACAAAGGCACAGCAGAGAGAGCACGAATGGGCATTACTGCATTCCAATAGAACTTTATTTACAAAACAGGGCCACATTTGGCTGATGGCTGTAGTTTGCTGACCCCTGGGCTCAATCAGTGCATTTCAAAAACATATTTTCCTTATCTAATGCATAGTGACAGAAAGCATGCCAGTTGTTGCCTAGGTCTGGGGTGGGGCCTGGAAGACCCCATGTGGGGCGCCAGGAACTCTTTGGAGTGATGAAAATATTCCATTTCTTAACTGTGGTGGTGGATACACGGCTATATAAATTTGCTAACACTCATCAAAATGTATACCTCTACTGATTATACATACATTATTGTATGAAAAAATGCACAATAAGGTTGATTGTTTTGTAAATGTCTTTAGAATGTCTTGGGTGCCGTCATGAAATGGGATTTGGAGGTCTGTGGGGGAGAGACTTAGCTCATAAGGCTCTGAAGGCCCCATTATCCCTTCGAACTGACACCTTGGGGAGATAGGAGGTATATATCAATCCCAAGTAATATTCCCTGGTTGGATGGGTTCTGTGGCTTTAACAATTTTGAGAAGGACTAGGCCCAATCATCTGTAGTACACTTTGCCCCCAAGCCAAGAGGCAGCAGGAGGGAAGCAAGAGGAGTATGGGCCTCAGTTTCCTCAGCCCTTCCTCCTCCAGAGCACAGGCCACACAGAAAGCAGCCCTGCTGCCTGGATTTTGGCCTGTCATGCCCATGTCCATTGGGTTTGAGAGCTCTGTGCCCTGGGCTTGGCTGCTTCCAAAGGAGGAAGAAACAAGGACCAACAGCTAGAGGTCTGAGTCTGTCCACAAACAGCAAGAGATAGGTCAGAACTTAAAGCTAGAGAACTTCAGTCTGGAAAGGAAGCTGAAGAGTTCCAACATGCATTTCACACTTGATTCTTGGTAGACGGTACCTGTGAGAATCAGCTGGAGAGCTTTCTCAAAAAAATACACACTCAGGCTGCAGGCTACGTGTCTGGAAATGGGGCTCTGACAGATACATCTGAAAAATCCTCTCCAGGTGATTCTGGTTTGTACTCCTAGTTAACAACCAGTTAGCAATCGTGCTAGGTAAACGTCCAGCTTGGTCTCAAGATGAACAGTGACCAAACACCCCCAGAGGGACCCATGTGACCTTGGACAGCGGCTCTCTTGGAAAGTTACCTCTTGGTGGAGCCAAGAGCTCCCCCACCTTTATCTTAAGAAGGATGCATTCTCCTAGGTCATGGCAGAACAAGTTGAAAGACACTCTTCGGCACAGCTGACAGCATCTTTCACGAGGCTAAACCGTCATACATATTTCCCAGCCCTCCTTAAAAACTGCACTGGCTTTTCTTCCAAGTTTTCACCAAAGGAACTAGCTGCTCCTTTAGATAGGCAATGATTTGCCAGAATGCCATGAATATAACTTGCTTATATTTTGATGGCTAGTAATAATCTTGTTTACACTACACCATGTAAAGTAAAAAAGGGTTTAGAGGCAGAAGCCAAAGAGTGGCACACTCCGGGAAAGGCTGTAACAGGTTACACTTAAAGAATAATGAGCTGCTGATTCACAAAGTTTAAATTCTCTTGACAAGCACTTTGAATTTACTTCAGAAGGTCTTGTAACTGCTTAGAAGTTAAAGTAACCCTATCACAATGGAAACATTCTGAGTTTACTCCACCCAATCTCTAGTGAAATTAGGAATGTCTGAATATTTAGACACTGTAATTTTTTTTGGTTTTTAAATCCTCGAGAGCAAAAGCCCTTTTTCATTAGATAGATCATGTTCACCAAGTATGCTCTGGGAACCGGGTATCAAAATGGTATGAATACACATGTTATTTAAGTAGCACCCGTGAGTGATTTCATTCGGTGAAAGCTTAATCCTTGACTTGCTCCCATTATTAATCAGTCAAAGGCACTGTCTGACTGTTAGGGTAGGGGCACTTACCCTAAAGAAAACACTTACCAGATTAAGATTTGCAGAATAAGGAGCAGGGTCCCAGGCCACCAAAATGACATCTTTATATAATGAGCTGTCAATGAAGTGATGGTTGGGGTTGGTCAGAATCTGCAAATACAAACAAAAGTCATTTTAAAATAAGTGTTTGGTTCTTCAAAATTACATCTTAAAAAAAGATGAAAATGTAAAAAAAAAATGAATCAGAGCAAAAAAAAAAAAAAAAAGTTGTTCAGACTTTGTCTTTTCCTCCGGGGGATGGAGAGAGGTGAGCATCGCACACTTATGTGTGTAAAGAAATGTCTGGGGAAATGAAGGTTAAAAATAAAATCCACTGTCTCCTCCATTTTCACCAGCACCATCTTCATAGCTGGTGGCATCGAATCAGCTCCTGAAAGATGCAATGCCCTAGCTAATTCGGCACCCCAGCATCATCTCCAGTTACTTTCACAGGTGATTGGAGAGGGAGGTGCAATTGTGGATGACCTGCCTTATGAAGGCGCCTCCAGAGGGCCAGGCTCGGGACAAACGGAACACAGACAGCCGGCGGACGGATGGCAGCCGCGATGTGACTTCCTCCCTCTGTGTCCCTATCTGGTCCTGGAGGAGACCAGGAGATACCTGCCAATCATCTTTTTAAACTACAGTTTTGGAGGGAAAAAAGTATTGGTTTTCATCAGTTTTCAGGGGCAATTTTTCAGTTTTCGAGATATACTTTCTTTCTTCATATTTGAAGATTTCTCAAGCCAGGGCGTATCTTACAGGGGACACATATTTCAATTTGGTGGGGTTGATAATGTTGAAAAGCTGGGAAGCTGTGACTGAATGAATGGTGGCTCTTACAATCGATGGCATCTGTGAAGTAAGGAAATAGGACGATTGTTTCAGGGTACCATGCAGAAAGCTAATCTTTCCTTCTGCAAGCAACCTGTCATAAATCATCCATCACCTCATGTTCTTTCTATATAGTTTGAAACTCTGGGAACTGCTGTGGTTTTGAGAGTAGTTTTGCTTTGAACTTGGAAAGTATTCTTATGAAGAACACCAGGAAGAGAAATACTTAACAAAACAATCCATTTTTTTTTTTTTAATTTTTCAAATGATGGACTAAAGTTTGCAAGCCACCCTACTGACCCTTGGATTTTGTAACCTTTGCTTTTCTCCCCTTCATTGCTGGCCTTTCTCACCACTGCGATTTCTTTTAAATTTAACTGTCTTTTCCTCCATTCATAAAATGCAACATGCTAAGTCTATGATTATGTATGTACCCATGTGTATGGATAGACACACATATTTCCATATGTACACTGATTTTTCCTTTTAATCTTATTTACTCATTTCTTCCTATTCATGCCACACATAAGTTCTATTTATCTGCATTTTTTTCTCTGTTCTTTTTAATTACAAGACCCATAGAAATAAGAAAGACCATAGTCATGAATAAATGGGTAATTTCTCTTCACTCATCCAGTTAAACTATTTACCTATAAGATGTACTTCCATGAGAACACACCATCCATCTTACCTGGGAATTAATGATGCGCACAGTGGTTTTATTTCCAACATCTTTCTCATAGCCACGTGTAGGAGCAGAGTTAAATCTCAAAACTGCATCATGAGAATCTAAGGACACATAAATGACAAACTTACTGTACTTTTTGCTGTCGAATCGACATAATTTAAAAAAGCATTAAAGCAAAATTTTCAATACCTGAAGCTAATAGAAACAACCAATAAAGTTAAGATACCCATACATATATTTTTCAGTATAGTGTCTATTTAGAATGGGATCCCGGCTAGGGGACAAATCAACATGGAAACATAGGACCATTACAAGTGGTCCTATGTCATCCAAATGTTAAGCTATATTTAGGTACTTGTTATGTGTTCACATTCTTTAAAGGTGACATGCTTTATGCAGCCATTCTCTGAAAGATTCCAGAATATTTCAAAGATGGAATCTGTGGGAGCATGTAAGGATATTGCAGACGGGCTGCTTGTGTGGTTCTTACTGCTTGGAGCATGGAGGCTGCTCATGGTGCCTCTAAGACCGCGGCCGGTGCCAAGACCAAGGGCATCTCTCACACAGAAAGAGCCACAGCCTTTAATGCGATTTCTATACCTTGGGGTACTGGTTTGTGCTTAAAAAGAAAACCAGCCCTCGGGCGCCTGGGAGGCTCAGTCTGTTAGGCGTCTGCCTTCGGCTCAGGTTGTGATCCCGGGGTCCTGGGATTGAGCCCCCTTGTGGGGCTCCCTGCTCTGCAGGGAGCAGGGAGACTGCTTCTCCCTCTGCCTCTGCCTCTCTCTCTCTCATGAATAAATAAATAAAAATCTTAAAACAAAAGAGCCCTCTATAACACCGTATGTTAACTATACTGGAATTAAATCTGAAAACTTAAAAAACCCCCAAAAAACCCGGCCAGGATTTCTGTGCTTCACATACTGCTGCTGCTGCCCAGAAGACCCACGGGGGAGCAACGGAGAGCGTTCTGCGTTCCCAGCACTGGTATGACGTCCCGCCGCAGCCCTGCCGGATGGAAGCACCACCGATGGTACTGGCTACCAAGGCACTTTGTCTTCTGTCAGGGCACACCTTGGTTCACCGGCCTCAACTACAACATAAAGCTATGTCTCTCTTCATTCAACTTGACACTTTTTAAGTTCTCGGAGATCCTGGGTGAAAACAAAGCTCCCATCTCCTGGAGGCCGACAAGGACACAAAGAGCTACAGGTAGAGGAGAGTGGGGTCACCTGTCTATCCGATTAAGGGATGGGAATGGGGACATGTTCCCTTCCCACAAAGCAGTCTATATGCATACATATGTCTGGGAATTTCCTGAGCCAGCTACTGTATTGCCCAGAAACCAGAGTTAATCAGCAATAAGGGAATTTCTGAGGGCTATCTTTAGCTTCAAAAATTCCATGCACATTTCAAGTTTAACTTGGTTGGAACAACAACAATGCCTGTGTATGTGGGGGAGAGAGAGAGAGAGGTAAGATTACGTATTTCTGATTTGCCAAAGAGCCTGTGGATGTAGCCTGCATTTACTGTGACTATACCCCATGCGAGTCCCTGAAGCAGCCCATCTTCTTCATTTGAGTCCTGCTATCCCCTCTTGAGCAGTCTCCTTGGGAGAGACCTTCCTATTCCCTAAGTAGCAGAGACTCGGCACACATGTCACCATTAAAACAATGTTACATTAGGTACCTTTCTTGAGCTTCTGAGCTCTGAGCTCAGAAGAATTTATGTTCCAGTTTCGAGCACCAAAATTAAATAGAACACAAAGAATGCATAAAGGATTCCTGGCTATGCCATTAAAAACTTCTACAGTGTTGGGGACGCCTAGGTGGCTCAGTCAGCTAAGCATCTGCCTTCAGCTCAGGTCATGATCCCAGGGTCCTGGATCGAGTCCCACATAGGGCTCCTTGCTCAGCAGGGACTCTGCTTCTCCCTCTCCCTCTGCCCTCCCCCTGCTTGTGTTCTCTCTCTCTCTCTGTGTCAAATAAATAAATAAAATATTTTTTTAAAAATTCTACAGTGT